TGAGGGATCGCGAATTATACTGCGACGAAACCTATCAATTTCTGATGGTTTGATAACCGGCGCAATGGGAATAGTAAAGAAATTTACATGGCCGGCACTTCGAAGAGATCAACTAGAACAGGGAGAATTGCCGGATTCAGTACTTATAAAATTTGACGACGAATCCATTGGAAATAGATTCAAAGATATTGATGGTAATATTCCAATATCTCTAGTTTCAGCAACGTTTCAAGCGACAAAAGGTTATGGTGACGTCGAGCGCAGAATGTTACCACTTATTCTAAGTTGGGCAGTAACGGTGCACAAATTACAAGGGACTACATTGAACAAAGCTGTAATTGATCTTGGCAAAAAGAATTTTGCAAAAGGCCAAATTTACGTTGCACTTAGTCATGTTAAAAGTTTAGATGGTCTAATTTTATCTAATTTAGCACCAAACAAAGTCCTCGTTAAACCTCATGACGAGAGAGCACTCGCAGAAATGCAAAGATTACGACAGTTGCTTTTGCAAAGAAACAGTCCAAATCAGCTTCCAGCGCCTGATATGTGAAGAAGCAAGCCAAGCCTTTTTATTTTTTAGTTGTTTTATTATTAGCGACCAATTAGTAAAGAAACTGACGAAGTTTACTTGCAGGGACAAGTTTGAAAAATCGCGCTCGCTACATTCCTTGCAGAATAACCCTAAAGAATAGGTTTTTTTTGCAATAACGATAGTTATTAACAATAAGAAGTTACATACATTTTTGCAAATGGAATTATGGTGGAAAGATGAACAAGATGTGAAAAGTTTAATCGCAATCGGTGTATTCCTTACAGAGTAGCGGTATAGAATCGGATTTTGCAATAACAATAGTTATTATATGTATATGCATACTGAATTTCGGTCGACGCGATATGTGTATAGAAACAGTAGAGAATCGGCGACTGCATGCTGACTCATGCACCGGTAGAGACACGTAGGCATACGTACAATTGAATGTAGTAGTAACAATAGTTTTGCAGGAATATCTCGGAAACTAAAGCTTTTCGTTAATTATGCATAATGAAAAAGTTGTTCAGAATCATGCCCCTGACAACATATTAAAGGGTCATTGAAATCGTCCTATGTTGAGAATAAAAACTCCTTGGATTTTGCAATAACAATGAAAAAATGAAAAATTTTTTTTTAATGGGACCAACCGGAAGACATACCCTACAAGATGCAAAAGGTTTCGTTCCGATTGGTCCATCCATCTCGGAGTAATCGGTGAATACAAAAAAAAACATATATATATATATATACTGATCGAATTAAGTAACCTCCACCTTTTCGAAGTCGGTTAAAAATGGTTTCATTCGATTTCTCGTCCCTTAATTACTATAAATCCGAAGTTTGGTTGTCCTAGGGTGGGGGGGGGGCTTTCGGAAGTACACCCCTTTTCTCCTAGCTTAGTAATTTGAGCCGGATTCAATGCCGCCATTTTGCCTTCTTAATTTGCACAACACTTATTTTACTTATTCGCGCAACGATTTGTGCCTGGGTCCATAACCTGTTAGGACTCTAAGGCGAAGTAGTTCGGGTTTATTAGCTAAACACCAGCTTTAGAATATGGAAAGAGTTAATACGTTTATTTTATGTAAAGTATAATGAAGGTACCGCGACATGACGACATGGCATCTCTACATTCGAATATAACTGACGACAGACAGACAAAAGACGGTTGTACCGGAGACCTGCGATTGTACATAGAGGGGCGATTCGATCGCATATCTTAACATTCAATTAAGGACATAAGATCTGCGGCATGAGAAGATATAACCTATCTAATTTCATCCATCTTTCTATCATAAGTACATATTGGAAAAATATGCAGACTAAATATATAAAAATACAATCATGTACTTAGAAAGGCAGATAAAATTGGGTTGGTTATTCAGTATACAGTAATGCTTCGAAATAAGCAAGTGGTCTCTGCTTCGAAATAAGCAAGTCGCTATCCCCTCTTCTTTGTTTGAAGTCGCCCGCAAAGTGAGAGGTACGAGAAACGAGTGAGAGGTCCATGAAAGCGCGAAGCCGATGTTTAGGGTAATAAATTTCACGCTCGACTGAGTAGTGACATCGGTTAGTAGAAGAAGGATGGAATATATATAATGCTTTCTCAGTCTGGTATATTTGCTTCGAAATAAAGCATAGTGCGAGAATGAGAGGGCATGCTATATTCTATCCTTGTTCAAAAAATAACATCCCTGCTCGGCCGATCACTTTATGATTTGCCGCTACCTCGGTTCTCTCACTCGCTTCTCGCGTTCTCTATCGTCCCGTTTCGAGAACAAAGTCAAGCCGAATAGCGTACCTGCTTCGAAATAAGCAACTGTTCGGTCCCGAGCCACTTGCTTATTTCGAAGCATTACTGTACACCACAAATTGTTACAGATTGAATATTTCCAGAAATTGTAAAACAAATTTCTGTATATTTCAAATATTATAAGATAACGTGAAATTTATTACAGTCATATAAAACCTCCTCAGAGTTCATCTGAAAATACGATATGTAAAAGTGAAACGTAAGCTTAACTAAATAGGTGCCAGGCCTCTTCAAAAATGTGGACTGGGCCCCTTACCATTTCAAAATTCTAAAATTTCAAAATTTGCGGATAGGCAGAATTCGCTGTAGTAATAACAATATTCTTTCGCGAACATCTCGTAAACTAATCGAGTTCGGCATATAACTTAAAAGTTGCTTAAATTGTTGAATTTTACAACATATTTAAAAATCATCGAAATCAGAGAGGGAGTAGCTTTTCTACAAGCTCACCGAACCTACTAATAACCTAAAAGTAGCTTCTTATTTTTTGGTATATAAGGATCTATGTACAGTAAAAGCTGGATATATGCAACAAACATTGGGACCCAGACGTTGCATATATCCAGTCGAGGTGTCGAATCTCGGGTTACACGCGACGAGCAGCCAAGCGTGAACGTAGAAAAGGACAGACAGTGGCGGAAAGAGAGAGGTCCGATGATCAAAGGAAAGAACCGAAACGTATCGGTGTGACTATTACTAATTGAATCAAAAAACTTTTTTATTTTTGACTTTTTTTTAATGAAACTTGTACTAACGCATTGGTGAGATTTTTGTGATTAAAGTGGTACCAAACACGATATAGTTTGAATTATAATTACTTGCTAAAATTGATGTTAAAAGTGGCGAAAAGCAAAGGACGATTGGAAATGAAAACCGGTTGCGGTATCGGCTCGGGTTTCAAACGTTGCATATATCCAGCCGAGGTGTCGATTCTGGGCATTTAATGTTTCATATATCCAGCCGAGGTGTCGATTCTGGGCATTTAAACGTTGCATATATCCAGTCTTGGTACCGATTCTGCGTCCGTACAAATCGTTTGTACCGTGCCGCGTTACCTATTCTACGTTCGTACAAATCGTTTGTACCGTGCCGCGATACCTATTCTACGTTCGTACACAACATGCAACGTGTTGCATGTTGCATGTTGCGTGTTTGATGTATCTTTGGTGTACAGCCTACCTTATACATATGTACAGTTTTATTATTATTTTAATAAATAAATATAATTCAAATCATATCGTGTTTGGTACCATCTTAATCAGAAAAATCTCACAAATTCGTTAGTAAAAGTTTCATTAAGAAAAAGTTAAAAATAAAAAAGTTTTATCGTTCAATTAGTATTAGTCACACCGATATTACGGTCGGATCATATTACACGGTTTCCTCGTCGAGCGGCTCTGTTCGGCTTAGGGGGATCCCCCCAAGTGGAGGGGATAGCGATGTTGCATATATCCAGCCAAACTTTTGTTGTATATATCCAGCTTTTACTGTACTGTTGAGAGATGGAAAGTACAAGGTGATCCTCTCGCTACGCTACCCGAAAGGAAGTGCCGCCACAATAGAATGTAGAAGTCGACATCTCATTCCTGTCATCGCTTACTTGACGGAGGTGGCCCCTGCAGCGAAGACGGCTGTGTGCGTGAAAATGTGTTAAGAAAATATTCTGTTTCCCACAGCGTTTAAATGGGGCTCTTCTGCTCATTACACACATTTTCATGCACACAGCCGTCTTCGTTGCAGGGGTCAAGTAAGCGATGATAGAAATGGGATGTCGACTTCTACATTCTATTGTGGCAGCACTTCCTTTCGGGTAGCGTAGCGAGAGGATCACTCTGTACATTAGGGAAAGGAATACGGGTACGAGTGGTCGTCGTCGATAAGTCACACCTCACGCACATGCATTCTAGATTATCGGGCGTTATTGGCCGATGCGATCATACACTAATCGCGTCGCCTGACAAAGAAGAAAGAAACTTCGCGACAAAACGAGAAGGTACGAAGTCAGCGTTGCGGCGTACTTTGAACGCGAAGATCAAACGTGGGGACAGGGCTGAGCGTGCGAAGTGCTCCCTTTGCCCCTGTGCCGTCCCTCTCGCCGACATCTCATCGGTCTATAGTACTTTCCATCTCGTAACAGTACTGTGCACCGGCCTTACTTCGAGCACTTGAATTTGTATACATTTACTGACTTGTCTCGTTGGACGGATTTTAGAAGTCTTAACCAGTCCTGTATACTTGCGGCCACATATGCCATATGGAATGGGTTAAGAGAGACATTTATTGTAATCAGTAACATATATTTTATTCTATATAATTACAATAAGATCTAATTAATTTTATTCTTGCTGCATAATTATTAATAGTATACATGAGTTATTACATTGATGTATGTATTGCCTTCCTATGATATAAATGTTTTTATTACTTTCAACCAAAAAATGTTTTTAAAGAAAAAATCAATCTGAAGTCAATGTTTTTTACTTATTGTTAGTGCTAACTTAAAAACCCGAAAATAAAACTGAAACCATAAGAATTTAAGTATCATTGAATTATGTAAATATCCAGATTTTATGGTAATTTATTCTAAATATATGAAAACCGAGACTGAAATATTTCTAAATTTATATTAAACAATAATGATCGTCTTTACAACAGGTATGCCTGCATGATAAAAGCGACTGGTCGTTATTTCTGTGACTTTTTACAAAGCGTCGACAATATTCATATGCAAATGAGATTCACGTATCCAAAAATGAAAAGTCCTTCAATGTATATTACACATATCGACACAGAGGGTGTAATATTAGTATACCGAAGTACCAGAAAGGGTTTTACACATTATCTTATGGGTAAGATATTTTTTTATTATAAACTTTTAAATACCATAAGCATTAATTTATAAATCAGTCATTTAATTTTAAATATATAATCTGCATGTTAAGTTAGTAAATTACTGTGCATGTAATTGTTTTTAAAGTAAATTGTTGATGTATAATAATAATATGATTTTTACACATTTAAAAGAGAAACTGTTTTTAGAAAGTTTTGAAATACTAACTTGCACAAGTATTGAAATTATTTTTTAGATATGGAACTTGCTTGACATTTTTAATCTGCTTAAATGTAATTTAAGATATAACGAAGCTGTAGTATAAAATTGAATAAAATAATTTTTAACAAAAAACATATCCGACTTCGAAATGTACTAAAAAGTGTCAAATAATTTCTATTTCATTTATACCAATATTCCATAGCTATTAATAATATCTATTTAATCATTAAACAGGATACCAAATATACATTTCAAAGTTTTCGGAGGCGGCGCAAAATTAAAAACACCCGAATATACGATGCTGCCAATAACGATTTGACTGCGGTATGGCAAACCTGGTAATTAGTAAGTCGTAAAAAAAAAATTCGAATCGTTATAGATACGTCAGAAAACATTCGTATTTTTAACAATTGTATCAGAATTTGGTAGCACTTCTGATGTACATTTTTAATAACGTGTGTCATTCCTCTCTTCAGCTTGCTTTTTACTTTGCGATCATTTAAATGGTGGACAGAAATACATGACGTACGATAACTGATAACCGATGATGATATGGTAAAGATATACGATCCAACGAAATTCCTGTTATTTTTCAAAGAAAAAATTATATCACACAGGTTATTAAAAATGTCCCCAGACCTACTGAGCTGCGCGAGTTAAGTATGGTCTCTCGTGAACTGCAATATAGTTAATCCGCAATGGGTATGTTGATTCCCGTTGAATGTTGTTTACTTGAAATTATCAAATGGGTCATTTGTCATATGTTGCCAACGCCTGAACTAGGATCTTCCTAGTAGAAGAAAAGTTTATAATTTTGCGCCGCCTCCGAAAACTTTGAAATGTATATTTGGTATCCTGTTTAACGATTAAGTAGATATTATTAATAGCTATGGAATATTGGTATAAATGAAATAGAAATTATTTGACACTTTTTAGTGCATTTCGAAGTCGGATATGTTTTTTGTTAAAAATTATTTTATTTCACACTTTTCAGTGGAACCTGTAGTATTTGTAGGATAGTGTAAGGTGATTTTGGATTTCTGTTGCTTAGCTACTAACCATAAACTGAAAAAATATTGACCAAATTTAAATGGTTAATAAACAATAAACTTCATGAATTTTTGCAAGTGGGATCATCGCGAATATACAGAGTGTCACGCGACTACCTCTACAGCCGAAGAGGGATAGTTGCGAAGGTGATTCTAAACAACCTTTTTCCTTTTCCACAATGTTGGTTAAGGCTTGGTTTTCTAGTTGTTAACAAAAAACACTGACCAATCCGAGCGGCTCAGGGACTGCAATGTCGGCTATGAAAACCGGGCCTGACGTAGGTCGCGAACGAACGGCTCGGCACCCCATTGGCATAGCACAATAAAAAAACTGAACTGGTAGAACATTTTTAGTCGTTGTTTAAAATGAATACGGAACCTAATCTCTTGTCGCCTATCATAATGTTTTTGCTTTCAGCGTAGCAAGTTAATTTAGAAACGAATGGATAAGTTTCATTTAAATTGTTTTCAAATTTTGCATCATTAGCGTAGCCTCCAATTCAAACGTTTATTAATTATTCCGCTTCAAACATTTTTATTTGTTGTTTAGAATCCTTAGAATTTCCACTTTTACATTATGACAGGCGACAAGAGATTAGGTTCCGTATTCATTTTAAACGACTAAAGGTGTTCTACCAGTTAAGTTTTTTTATTGTGCTATGCCGACGGGGTGCCAAGCCATTCGTTCACGACCTATGACAGGTCCGGTTTTCGTACCAGTCAGTGCAGTCCCTGGGACTGCGCGCTATACGCGCTCGGGTTGGTCGGTGTTTTTTGTTATTAACTCGAAAACCAAGTCTTAACCAACATTTTAGCAAAGGAAAAAGTTGTTTAGAATCACCTTAGCAATCATCCGTCTTCGGGTGTCGAGGTAGTCGCGTGTCACCCTGTATATCCTACTAAATATCAACGGTTTTATCGCGAACGATACATTCCTTGCAGAGTAACATCAAGGAATACATTTTTCGCTATGACAGTAGTTATTAACAAATTCCATAAATTGTTGCAAGTGGGATCATCGCGGATATACCTCCTACTAAATGTAAAATGTTTCATCGCAATCGGTACATTCCCTGCAGCATAAACGCCGGAAGATATAAATGAAGTATTGCGTTTTTTATGATAAAAGTCGTTAGGAATGAAAAAACACAAAAATTGTATTGCGGGGCCAAGTGGGAGAGATACTCTACAAGATGCAAAAAGTTTCGTTCTGATTGTTCCATCCGTCTCGAAGAAATCGGCGAACATACATTTGGAAAAGAAAATCGTTAGGAATGAAAAAATGCCAAATATTTTTTTAACCGGACCAATGGGGAATTATACTCTATAAGACGCAAAAAGATTCGTTCCGATTGGTCCACCCGTCTCGGAGTAATCGGCGAACGTACGCCGCACGTACATGATATAGTATGTTTTTTTGCAATAAAAAGCATTCGGAGTGTTACGTCCCTAGGTATAACCCATTTTCGTCTTTCGCCATTCCAAAGAGGTCTTGCTCTGGAATCCGCGAAACATCAGCATTTTCTCGCTTAGCGACGCCCGCGATACGAAATCAGGGAACTCGCGGAATGCGATGGCGAAAATCCTTTGTTTGCAGGTTTTCGCAAGCAAAGAGCGTGACCTACTCCCCTTTTGGGAGTATAAGTTATCGGCGCGACGCAAGTACCGCAGTTCCGTGATAGCTTAAAGCAGAGACGAAGTTCTGCTCGTTTGCAACCCGCGTTTTGGCTAAACTCGAAACCAGGAAGATCATCAACGACGTGCTCGGCCGACGGTTCAACACGAGTGTATCCCCGAGGTCTGACGTTCCAGGCCCATAATAGGACAAGCTCCAGGGGTGCACCCGTGTGCTGTGCAGGACCACCACCAACCGCTTGCATCTTCCAAGGTCGAGTCATAGCCACGCGCCGCGAGTCTAGTGTTCCGTCGAATCCGCGTACTAAGTGTAAAGCGAGACCTCTTGTGTGAGTGACCGACGCGTGCAAGGGAAGTATTTGCTGACGACACCCGAAGACAGCGAAGGGTATGTAAGATAAGCCAAATTGAAATACACTTACACATCCGAATAACCTCAATCGCGTATTTTGATCCCCGGTCTCCCATCCTATACCCCCTTATCTTTGAAAGGTAGGTCAAGGTGCGCCTTAGCGTTTTAAGCGGCAGAACCCGTATCTAGGATTTAGTATATAATAAATGCCCCGCAAGACGGGACGTAACAAATTGGTGTCAGAAGTGGGATACTGTCCGCAACTTGACCGCGCTTTCTGCTTAATCAAGTATCACATAACTCGTCAATATGCACTTAGTTCACGATACTCTCCCTTCTCGCGGTCCTCCATCCGTTCCGAGTACTCCATCGACTCACCGCGATTCAAGAGGCTCCACTACCCTGGGATCCTCTGCGTACGAGTCCTGGCGTATTAATCGAGAGGAGGAAGATCGAGTCTATCGCGTCTTAGAATCTGTTCCGCGTTTTGACCCACCGCATATTTCCTTTGAAGAATTCGTACATGCTGTGGAAACCGCGAAGCGACGAATCCCCGCGGGTTACGAAGATAAATTCCTCGAGGGATTAATAAGCAAATTATTCCGGCCCATCCAATATTACGTAGAAGAAAGTAGATGCGCAAATGTAACTGAACTTTTAAAATTACTTCGTAAACGTTATGCTCCCAATCGAACTCATCAAGAGATCCGTTTCGACCTCGAGCATATAACTGCGCGATCGGGCGAAACCACTTTAGAATACATCCATCGGTTTACGCGAACCTTTCATCAGGCTAAGGTCAGTGCCCGCAACGAGGTGGGCGACGGCTACGACTTCGCCGGTCTCGAACGTCTGGCACGTAAAGCGTTCATTCGGGGACTACCCTTACACTTGTCACATGCGGTTAGTGCTGCAGTGCCGGGAACACTTGAGGAGGCGATGGACGAGGCCATCTACGTAGAAAAACGCGACCGAAAACGGACATCCGCCGCGAGTTTTAGCGATGATTTGTACCCTCTACCGCCGCGTACTCCCGCTCCCTACGATTATGACCGAAGCTGGAGAGAATGGCGGGAACCACCGCCATCCGCGGAACTAGAATATCCCCGTTACTCGTATAACATTAACGTTCGCGAATATCAGCATTATGGCCCACGAAGGTCCGGGCATTATCAACCCCCTATTCGTAACGAATATCGTTACGCTCAGGGGCCCGTTTATCCTGAACACCGTTACCACGCCGAACCCTATAGATCGGAAGGGTGGTACCGACCACCCGAACCTCGTGATTCGGAAGAACTAGCTTATAGAAGAAGAGAGGAAAATTTTGCACGCGACGCGGCTTGGCAACAGCAACCAATACGGATCGCTCCACGCCCGCCTCCTGGTCGAGGACGCGATCCTCCGCAAGATCAATATAATTATCAACCACGTAGCCGCTCATACGAACGCGGTAATTTAAACGCGAATCGCGTCCGTTCTCCGGGTCCATCCAGAACGGGCGCACCCTCCTCGCAACCGCAAAATCTACGGAGCCGGGACATGAGCCCCGCGGGTTCTTACAGGCGCCCACTCCCCGCCTTCGGATACGATCAAAGGCGCTAATCAACGGGATAGGCGAATTTATAATAGATACCGGGTCCATGCTGAACTTGATTAATGCGAATACGCTCCGACATGACGCGCCGATCACTAGTTGCGAGAGCGTCAACGTTCGAGGCCTACAAGGAAGCATCGTGGCCGCCGGTACCGCGAGCATAA